CAATAAGTTTTTATCACATCTTATGCATCATTAGGTATTAGGCTATGGCATTATTTTTAATTCCTCCCATAAAAATACGATAGGAGAGAGATCTTGTGATTGGGAAGCCAAAGTCATTTTATTTAATATTTGATTGTTCTCGAACTCAGTCAAACAACTTTTTTTGGAAAAGTATGTTTTAGATTTAAGCTTCGAGTTGTTTTCTTCTGAAAAAATAAAATGGCTTTTCAAATGTGTGGCATAACTTTTTAAGTGTACAAGTAAACTACATTGTTATTACTCCCTCTATTTTCACCCGCGGCATTCTAACCAAAACAGTCCCATTGCGAAACATAAATGTTTAACACAAAACGAAATTGATTATATCACAAATTCGAATGGAAATTTAGTACTTTTTATGTAATCCCTAAAATTCATAAATATAATGAAATTATTATAAAAGGTCGAATGGAATTGGTCGATTTCGAATGGAAATTTGGTACTTTTTATGTAATCCCTAAAATTCATAAATATAATGAAATTATTAAAAAAGGTTCAATTATCTAGCTCTCTATTTATCGAAATGAAACCACAAAAAGATTTAAAAGGTCGGCCCGTTATTGCTGGAATAGATTCACCTTCATCGCATTTAAGCCTACTTCTTCACATAATCCTATCTCCTATTATAAAGAAACAAAAGACTTTTGTAAAAGATGACTGGGATTTTTTAAGAAAAATTCATAGAATCATGGATTCAGATAGTGTTAAGTTAACATTATCTGAATCCATGATTCTTTTTCCAAAAATTTACCAAAATATTTTTTAAAAGAAAATATTATTGAACAGTTTTATTTTACACACGTCGATTATGGTTTTAACAGATTGCCAAAATGTATAGATATTGCTAAGTTCCAAATGTCCCATACAGAATTACATGATTCAATAAATTTTACAATTGATTTTGGCATCGAATTCAAAGAAAACGAAAACACATATAATGCAGTTAATTTTCTAGACATTTCGGTTATCCTTGAAAACAACAAATACATCAAATGCTTCAGAAAAACTAGGTGTAGCGGAACTTCAAATATGGTTAAAAGAGTGTCATTACCTTGATTATGTAATAGCAAAAGCATTTTATAATACAAAGTTACAAGGGCCAGCGCCAATGAAATAATCAAAAAAAGTCTTTCCTTTGTTGACTAATTTCTATAGTAACTTAAGCTGTCAACCAAATTTAAATGAAGCTAACCTTTTTATTAAGTTTATCTGATAATGAAAGATTAAAAAATGTTTGTTCATGTATTCAATCAGTTATTGCCTACACACAATCCATATCTCAATCTAAGTCATCTGTCAAAAAAATAGGATTGTTCAAATGCAAAAACAGTCGGCCGGTTATATTTACTAGAAGTAGATAAATTTAAGACATCCAATCTACTTATACTGGAAAAACAACCAATTTAAGAAACCGCACAAATGGACATATTTCCAGTTGCAAAACTGACAATTCAACAGATAGATTTTACAATCATGTATATGATTACAAGAAAGTTCACAAAAAAAATATGAAGCCATTTTTACAGCTTTTTATTTTTCTCGATCTAAAAAATTAAAATAATTTGTTGACCGAAGAAATATATATATATAAACATAGGAAAAGTGTATATAAACATAGGAATATATATATAAACATAGGAAAATATATATGGGAATTGAAAGATAAAAATATTGATGATTTTACACTGAATTGGTCGATCCTTAAAACAGTGCCTGCATGGCCTACTATATTATACGGCCGTATATGTTACATTTTAGAGGCCGATTCTAAGAGGCCTATTTATTAAAAAGATGGCTGCGCAACTACAGAGAAAAAAACTTATCATCCAGACTAAATGTAATTTCGAGTACAAAGAAAAGTGTATTTATCAGCGATAATTAATCATAGAGATTTGTGTATTTATAAACATATATATCTATGTATATTATACATGTATTTGTATCTAATATATATTTTTATATTTGTACATTATACATTTAAATTAACAACACGATTTTTACAAAGAAGTTTACAAAGAAAACCAAGGTTTAAATTTATGTTCTTTTATTGTTTTATCTATCTTTATGTTAATATATATATATATATATATATATATATATATATATATATATATATACATATATATATATATATAATATATATATATATATATATATATATATATATATATATATATATTAAATATATATATATATTTATATATATATATATATATATATATATATATATATATATATATATATATATATATATATATATATATATATATATATATATATATATATATATATATATAGGGTTATTATTCTCTCTGTCTACTTTTAAAACTTTTAACAGCATCTTTTCGTAGAGTAGCATTGATTAAGTTTTGCTTATTGTTAAAAAAAACATTATTTATGATTTTAGAAGCAAAATTAAAACCCCATTTTTTGTGTATATCACAGGTAAAACAAACTGTTGGAAAATATTTTGATAAAACAAAGCTTGATACGTCTTTGACATTAGCACCTTGTTTAGTTATTAAATCTGAAAGGTTATCTAAAACTGCAAAACATCCACATGTAAAATCTTTAAGTGAAAGTGATGATACTGTAAGACCACCTCTGGAAAGTATTTGTAGATATGGACAAATAATTATATTGCTTGTATCTGTAGCTAGCAAAGGTTTGCAATAATTACATTTGCTTCTTTTGGTTAATTTTTTAGCAATGTAACCTGCTATTGTTGTTGCAACTTCTTCTGTTTCAGGTGAGAGAGTTGATTCAGATATCTCGTTTGAGTTTAAATCAAATATTGCCAGTAATTCATTATTAATTGGGTTATTGTGGTTGTTTTTTTGATCTTCATCCCAAAAATTTATATTCTCCTTAATTAAAGACCGACATGCTAAAATAATTTCAGAATGTTGAACTTCTAGTAAGCTAACTAGAAATCTTCCACCACTCATCTGTCGATATTGCGAAAATCTACGCTCTATTGGGTCACTTTGAAGCCGTGAAGTAAGTACATATAAATATCCTTCTTCAATAAGGTCATCTATAAGCATTGCTTGCGAACGCAGAGTTGTGATGAGAGCCGATGATGTTTGTTGTGATAAAGTAAAATATGGAGATTTCTGCCAAAGTTCAATCCAATTAGCTAATTGTCGAAAAAAAGTTGTTTTACCATCATTAAGAATAATCGCAGTACCAAGTTTATTTGGGCTAAATCGCTCTTTAGAATTTGAAATAGTCCACCATTTGTGAAAAATTGTAAGAAAACCAGAAATTTCTTTACGTTCTGGAAAATAACTCTTGAAACCTGCAATTGTTGTTTCATCAAAAATTGATAGTGCAGGAGAAACGTTTTGCTTTTTGTTACCAGGGTGAAGACTCTGATATGAAATTTTTGGAGCTTTTCGTAAATTGCCTTGAAGTTTCTCATCTTTAGAATGTAGATGATGAAAATCTCCCCAAGTAATACAACCAGTTGGACAATTCCCAGCAAACAATAGACGTCTTTTAGACCGTCTAAAATTGGTCTAATTTGTATCTATTGCCGATACGTATATTTTAGACGTATATTAGAGATGAAAAAGACGTTTGATTCTAGAGCTACTATTTTTGCTCTGTTTTAGATGCATATTAGATGCATAAAATAGATCGTGCATAGATAATTTTTATTCATCTAAACTTAGATGTCTATAAGATGTCTTATATAGATTAGTTATAAAAACAAGAAAAAAATATCAACTACTTTTACGGAGCGACAATTATAAATGAACGCCATTTAAAAACCATGCTTAAACTTATTACGAAAAAAGCATGAAGATTTTAACCTATGAAAAACATTAATGATTATTTCTTTTGATAAATTTTAAATAATAAAATAATATGCTATTATAGTTCACAAAATATTTCGATGATTTGATGCTTAGCATGTTTGCTAAAATCCTTGTGTATGTATATATATGTATATTTATATAAATATACATTTAAAAAGTATACATATAATTATATATATGTATATTTATAAATATATATATTTTGTTGACAAAAGGTTGTTTTTCAGTGCATGATTATAGTTTTTTTTTTGGGACAATAAATTTGTTGGTATATTATACCAAAAAATTTATTGTCCCAAAAATATAATATTTGTTTTTCTGCATGTTTTTCTAACCAAGTAATTATGCACTAAACAAGTGGATTGACAAAGAATACCAACAAACTTATTGTCCCAAAAAAAAACTATAATCATGCACTGGAAAACAACCTTTTGTCAACAAAAGAGTGACACAAATTTCCATTGATAAAGTGTAAGATAACAGATAGTCAGTATCTAACTTGTTTTGTATTTTTTTTAAAGGTAACTTAATTACTTTTTTGTAGCAAAATGTTTTATAATTATTTTCATTTTCATGTTGTGAAGAATACAACTTTCTACATCAGATGAGATATATGTTAAAGAAAGCATTAAAAATAAGAATAACAAATCATACTGCTCTTCATTGCCAGAACCTCCGCCACCTATTATGAATAAGCCCAATGCTAAAAGTATAACATAAATATCATAATTTTTTCTTAATGGTTTATAAACTGAAATAGATTCTTGTTTAATTTGATCTGAATAATATCTATCTAGCTATTAGTCTTTTTTATGTGTTACTAAGATTTTCCTTTTATTTTAACTATTTGGGTGTCCTATTATATGTAATGTTGTTAAATTGGTTACATATATTTATATCATTGACAACATTCTATTGTCTTAAATAATCCTTTAATCAACTTGATATGAAAATTGAAAATTGATTGAAAGCATGCTGAAGTTGTTTGAATTCAAAAATTGAAAGAGTACAAAATTGGTTGAAAGATTAAATTAAATAACAGGTATGGTTGAGGTATTATTTATTGTTCTAATTATAATTATTTCTTTTGAATAGAGTTGTTATCAGATTCAAAGATTGAAGAAAATAATTTTTCTTCACATTTTATTGATGAACACCAAGCAAAGTTCACATTGTCAAAGAGTTTTAAGTTTTAATGTGAGTAATTTTGGTTTTTACACCACTGAATGTTAATGTGGAGGTCTTTTTTATTAATTTGTTTTTGTATTAAAATAATTGTAAAAGATAGGTATAAAAGAATAGAAATGGATTATTTATAATATTGTGATCCGATAAATCATGTGTGTAGCATTTTATCTTTAGTAGTTAAGCAAAATTCTTTAATATCATAGCCTTTTACAGGATAAAGTTTTAGCTTATATTATAGCAACTTCTGCAATGGAGTAATAAAAAAACTTACATAAATTTTTGAAATTTTAGTTTAAGTTACTCAAGCATAATTTGAATTTTAAAGTTCTTATTTCATTGTTTTGCTATTTGGTTTTATGAGCTAAATATGTTAATCAATCTTTTTATTCTTGTTTGTAGAGATGCAAAATGTTATTCTCAAGGAGCTTGCAGAAATAAAAGTTCTTTTAAAAGAAGTTATAGAAATTAAGTTTCAGGCTACTGGGGTGAAGTTGCTAGAATCGGTGGACGAAGTGGTTACACTGGATAATAAACTATAAGATAAAACCGAGTATACTAATTTGGTATAATCTAATTATCTTAATTTTTAATAAGTTTGTTTAAATTTGTTTTATTAGTTTAGAATCTAAATAAAAAGTAATTGTAAATGAACTAAAATAACTAGCTTGTGTTAGACTCAATATGTTGTAAAGAAATTTAAGTTACACTAGTTTTTATTACATTTGTTTCAGCTTGATAGTTTGAAAAAGATTGGTGGAGAACATGTTTTTTTAATCATGAAAAGGTAAACGATTATGTTTTTATTAATTATTAGAAATATGATTAAAAGGGACCAAAAGCAATTCTTTTTGACTGTTATTTGTTATGGATTTACTTTTAACATGACAATTTGATAAACTCGGGAGCTTTGCTGCAGGTGTTTAAGTTTGTTTGTGTGCTAAAGTAAGTGTAATGCTAACCTTGTTTAGCATTTTATTTTCAAATTTAATGCTTTTACCTTTCATAATTTTAAGCATTCATTTATTAAAATATATTTTAATTTATTAAATACATTAAAATAAAAATCTTTATATATTTCAGTTTATTGTTAAAATATTTATTAGGTTATTTTCGAATCAGTTACAGTCTAAATTAAATCGAAAAGGAAATGGGGAAAAATAAGGTTAGAAAATCTTGTAAATATATGGAGTGTTTTACGAGGTATAGTTTTAATAGTATTTACAAAACTGATATCTGTATTAAAAAAATTATTTTTCGACTTTTTTGTGTCATGCTAGAATTTTTGTATCCATAATACAAGTTCCTTTAGTTTTTTCATAAAAAAATTGTTGTTTATTATATATGTATATATATATATATTATGTATATATATATATATATATATATATATATATATATATATATATATATATATATATATATATATATATATATATATATATATATATATATATATATATATATACATGTATATATGTGTATATACAGTATTGGACAAAACATTTGCAACCAACATCGAACAATGCTAAAAAGTGTTCCTAATTTTATTTGTCTTGAAAATGAAACGAACTATACTACCACAGCAAACAGTTCAGGAGTCTGGAGTCATAGCATGCCATGAAATGAGCAATCAGCTGACAGGTGACAGCACACAGGCAGAATTTCGTTGACAAGTGCCATTTTGCAGCATGCATATATATACTGTGAAGCATGGTGGAGGCAATGTAATGGTCTGGGGGTGTTTTTCTGCTAATGATCCAATATATCGAATCGATGGAATAATGGACCATTTCATGTATAAAAATATCCTGGAAGATGTTATGTTACCTCTTGCTGAATGGAATATACCAATAAAATAGGTTTTTCAGCAAGACAACAATCCCAAACACAGTGCAAAAGTAGTCAAGCAGTGGTTTCAAGACAACCATCTATTGGTGATGGATTGGCCGCCTCAATCTCCGGATCTCAACCCTATCGAGAACTTGTAGGAGATCGTCAACGGCAGAGTTAATCATGAATGTGTTCGTAATAAGGATCAACTGTTTGAACAAATCCAAAATGGCCTAAGCAGCGATTCCAGTTTCATTGATCACCTGATTGGTTCTATGCCTTAAAGATGCAAGGCTGTGATCGACAACAAAGGATTCACCACAAAATATTGATATGAATACAGCTTGGTCAACATTTTGTGGAGTTGCACTTGTTTTGTCCAGAAGGAAATCAACTTTTTTTAATACTTTTGATTAATTTATTAATTTTCGTGTACAAATAATGAACTTTGTGATGAATAAAATTTGAAGAACGTTGTCTCTAAACAGTTACATAGTTATTTCTCTAAATTGAAAAAATACAGCACTTTTATACAAAGAAACTAAATTAGCATCATTTGGTTGCACTGGTTTTGTCCAATACTGTATGTGTGTGTGTATATATATATATATATATATATATATATATATATATATATATATATATATATATATATATATATATATATATATATATATATATATATATATATATATATATACATATATAATTTGCAAGTTCTACTTATTATGCAAGTTGCTTTTTATTTTGCATAATATGCAAGTTTAAAATTAATAGTTTTATCATTCAACTTGTTGCCTTTTTTTGTGCGAAAATAGGCCTCTTAGAATCGGCCTCTAAAATGTAACATATACAGCCGTATAATATAGTAGGCCATGGTGCCTGCATATAACAATATTTCCAAAAAATGCATACTATGTCTACAAGAAAAATTTGAAATAAATAAACATACAAACCAAGAATGTTTATTAAACAAAAAATCGGAATTGATTTCTAAATGCAGGCACGAAAATAAGTTTCTCCTAAAAAACTATAAAAATAAGTGAGCTCAAATAATAGTTACATTAAATCCCCTTTGAAAAAAATATATTATTTTTTAAAAAACTTAAGTAATCATTTCTAAATAATTCTTTTTACAATAGTGTCAGCAAATTACACAAATGTGTGAAAAATTGCAGTAGTTAAAAGATGTGACTTCCTGTAATTTTTTTTATTAATTTGATCATTCATTTCTGATGAGTCTTTATTGATGAAACACTGTTAAATGAGAAAATATTTTGCTAAGTGATTTTCTACTAATTTGTAATTGCTCTGTTCTTTTAAGAACATTGAGCACTCTTTTTGTAGATTACATTTTAAATTGTTTAAATATATATTAGGCTCCTTATAAACATTTGTTGAGAACTCTTAATTGTATTTTAACAATCCGCGTAAATATGGAAACTAATAATTTCACTTACTCCTTGAAAAATATACCTATACTAGATGGAAAAAGTTATACTATTTCTTTGATTAAAAAAGTTGAGCATTTTATAAAAAAAATTTGTTGGAAAGCGCATTTTTTCTTAAAACCAAATACAAACACAGATGATGTATTTAATAATAACCAAGATAATGATAATTATGGATTTAAAACAAAAAATACCCCACCTTTCATACCTGATTTGGAAAATTTTGAAAATGACCTATTGCATTTAATTAAAACAGTAAAGTTTCGATCTATAAAAAATAAATTTCAAACAGAATTAAAGTTAGATGTTAAAAAAATTAAATCAAACCCTAATATTTTGGTTTTTGCTGATAAAACATATAACATTGACCAACATACAACAGAAAACTATGAAAAAATTCTACGCGACAATATTACTAGTTCTTATAAGGAAGCCCCTAAAAATTTGGAAAATGCAACTAATTTAGAAGCACAAAGTATTGCTAAAAAAATAAGCCTTGATAACAGAGTCGAATAAACTGCTCCTGCCCAAGCCTTTGTTACACTAAAAGACCATAAACCAAATTTTCAAAACAAACTTCCTTGTAGGTTATTGGTTCCCTCAAAAAGTGAGATAGGACATGTAGGCAAAATTAAATTGGACAAAATTAATAATATTCTTAGAAATAAATTAAATTTGTAACAGTGGAAAAATACCACAGATGTTATAAATTGGTTCTCCATAATCGATAATAAAAATGATTGTACATTTATTCAATTTGATATTTATGATTTTTACCCCTCAATATCTGCAGATATTTTAGATAAAACAATTGATTTTGCAAAAAGCCACACAGTTATTCCTGAAGAAACAATTCGCATAGTAAAACATTGTAGAAAAACCTTACTTTATTTTAATAAGGCAACTTGGAAAAAGAAAAACATACATAACTGCTTTGATGTAACAATGGGCAGTTATGATGGAGCAGAAATTTTTGAATTTGTTGAATTATAGATTTTAGATTTATAAAGTAAAATAATCAATATGAATGATTTAGGCCTTTATCGCGACGATGGTTTAATAGTAATGCGAAAAAAATCTGGCCCACAGCTTGATAAAATTAGAAAAGATATTATAAAAATTTTTAAAAATATTGGCTTTCAAATTGAAATAAACATAAATTTAAAAATTGTGAACTTTCTTGATGTCACATTTAACCTCTCGGAAAATACATATAAGCCTTTCAAAAAAGCAAACGATGAATTATTGTATATCAATATTAACTCAAATCATCCACCACAAATTCTATAACAAATCCCGATTTCAATTAATAACAGGCTTAACCAAAACTCCTCTAATGAAAATGTATTCAAAAATATAAAATATATATATATATATAAGTTTAATTTTTTTTGTGAGCATATATTCAGCTAGAGTGCTCTATGAATGATATCAAAGCTATATAATTGATTTTCAGTTTATATTGGCCTAGCAGAAGGTGAATAGAAGAAAAGATGGGCTTTTCACAAACACTCATTCACAAACAAAGAGATGAAAAATTCAATCACCCTTTCAAAGTTTATATGACAGATAAACGAAAACTTAAAAATAACACCCAAGTTAACCTGGTCAATAATTTAACAATTCCCCGTCTACAGCAACGTAACAAAAAAATGCTTGCTTTGACTTCATGAAAAACTTTACATTACATCATTTAAAGGTACGCAAGAATTATTAAATAAAAAACAGAAATAATATCTAAGTGCCGTCATGAAAACAAGTTCTTGCTTGACAACCACGAGCCCAAAGATTAAAATACCAAACCACTCTCACAAATAGTAAGAGTTTTGTTATTGTTTTTGAACGTCACGATGTTATTAAGAGCATATTTTTTAACAATAAAAACAACCAAATAAGCCCAGATTTAATTTTCCTAATATTATTTACCTATGGGGCCATCCATAAATGATATCAGTAAAGAAAGGGGAGGGGTTATTGAAAGGTTTGACAAGAATTGACATTGGGGAGAGGGCTTGAGACCAAAATGATGTCAATTGAAAAAAATTAAGTTTGTTCGAGCAGCTTTTAAAGGCATTTACATCTACAATGTGGTATAGAAATAGGATATTTGCTTTGTGGGTAAAAATTGAGAAAAAACACTGACATCATTTATGGACAGCCCCTATATTTAGACATACAAAAGGTGCCACCTAATTAAAAAAATATCAGAATATTCCAGGACTACCCTCGACCAACCTAAAATGATCAGCTGGGCGTTCTTTAAACTCCCTGACTGTAATTACCAATATTTAGACATAAAACATGTCTTATCCTATTAAAAAACATCGGGACAACTCAGGACCACCCCTAAATTACCATTTGAGCAGTCATGACCACTTCTAAAGACCGAATATGGCTAGATTCAAATTCAATAAGATTCAACTTCAATTCAAATTAAGTATTTAGACATACAACATGTTATATCTAACTAAAAACAAT